ATCAACTTCAACTAAAAGCAAAAAAAAATAATAATAAACTAAATTTGATTAGTCTTAAAAGTAAGAAAACATACTACTAAACTAAATTTGATTAGTCTTGACTCTTGAGACTTGAACATAAAGCATCAATTGGTACGAAAGTTTTGTTTCTCATTAAGTAAGTTGACAAATGACCCCATCTCCTGCATGTTGATGTCATGAGCTTGTGACATTCGTGATTGACCCTGGAACTGGTGCATTAGAGGTGGTTGATGTTGGAAATTGTAAATAGGCGATGGATAACCGGTCATTGCATTTTGTAAATCCATTTGTTTCTTGAGCCATGATAATAGCATTTGACCGTTAAGCATATTAACGACATGTCTATTCTCCTTCTTTTTAATAGCTTCTGCTCCTGCCACACATAGATCACTAGTTACACCTGATAATTTCATTATCTTATCCATGCACTCATTCATTTCAGTAGGCACCCCTTTTCTGGAATCTACAAGCTCTTTTGTAATTTCAACTCGTTGTTTTTGTAGCTCAATCATTTTCGACAAATTATTTTCAACTTCAATACCTGATACTCGACGACGAGAAGTGTTTTTAAACTTACGCTTTAAACCTGATGGTTGCATGTGATGCTTTATGCTCGGAGTAGAACTAGGTATTGGTTGTGGTGGTGGTGGTGTCCCATTAAAAGGAACTTGTGTCTCTTCCACTTCTTGTACCTCCTCTGAATCATTCAAATCTATCTCGTTATTGTGTGGCTCATCAGTATCCTCTAATTCATTTTCTGAACTAGTGCTTCCTTCACGCTCATTAAAGTCATCAGTAGTCCCAAACCACCAGCGCCCCTTAGATGTGTTACCTCCACATAGAAAATCCATGTCGTCGAACTGAGGAAAAGGTTTGTTCTTAATTCTTAAATACTCATCATTCTCCTGCGGTAGAAAATTCATAATAAATATATTATAGTTTTAATTATATAATATTCAAATTCAATAATGCTAAAAATTTAAATAATACCTTTATCAATGCCTCCCAATCTTTTGCAGTAGGTGCAATCACCATATTTTTACCTTCATCCCAACCCCAACCTGATTTATTTCGGAGTTTGTAATTAAGGGAATATTGCTTTTTCAAAATTTTATAGCGGTTTTGCATTTGTAGTTTGCCTCTGTCCTTTTGTCCAGTCCTAACTTTATACTCATCGGTTACATTTTTCCATTACTCGGTAGTGAAATGACCTCCATTGTTCTTTCCTTTAAGGACCATTTCCTTTAATATTCCCATCAAACAATTATCTTCCTCTATAGTCCAGTTCCTGGCACGAGGTCTTGACTGCCCACCTTCGGGTTGAGATTGTGATATGAAGTTCTTCTTAGCCATTCTAGATCATTAATGAGAATTTTAAAAGAAGTTAATCAATTGAACAATAAACTAATCAATTTTATAATCTATTAGAACTTTTTACACAATCTGTTATGGTTTAATATTGAGTTGGAAATACAAAGAAATACAAACTAAAACTATAAACTCAGTACCACTAATATTATATGACTTATGGACATAATTTAAAGAATGGCAGGAGACATTATAAAAGCATGAATTTCTTTTACCAAAATTGAGAAGATAAAATACAGTCTCATATCATACACATCTCTAACTAACCAAAGTTTTGTCATGAATGCACAAAATAATTGAAATTAACAACTAGTCAGTATTCTCTAATTAGGTGAAGCATAGCATAACATAGCTAATACTTCCAAGTGAGTACAAGTTAACGCAAAATGGAATCAGACATGTTACAGCCTGAGATCTTAAATCAAAACAAAATGTCATGTTAAACGAAGAGGAAAGGATTAGAAAATGAAGAAATTATAATTATAATTACAGCTATGATCAACATTCATTTAAACATAGAAACAATTATAATTATAATTCCATCACTCATTATCCATGAGACTGGCAAAACTAAGACGAAGATCAATTGAACATGATGCAAATCAAACCCCTTTTAATTATAAGAGTTAATCTAAATTATTAGGTAACACCCTTCCATCCCTTAAATATCTCATTCTTCCAAGTCCAAGCCAAATAAAGAAGCACAACATAAAGCTTCATAAGATCTTTACGACATGAGTCATAATTGCTTTCTCACTAGTGAAACCTAGAATTATGTGCATTAAAACTAACAAAAGAAACCCACAATCCACAATCCAGAGACTAACTGCAAGCCTGAAATCTGATCCATAAACCCTAATTAATCAACACATGAGTCATTCCAACAGCATTAATCTCTACAAACGCCCCCAAATCTGAGATACAACATCTATGAGAAATGGAGCCTAAGGAAAAAATCCTCAAAAAATCAAATTGCGTTCACTGATAGTGAAAATCCTAGAATACTTATCAGGACAATTAATAGCTATAATTGCTTCCAAGGACACAATTAACAAGTGGAACTTAAGCGCCATCATAGCCAAGGGCTACACAAACTTTCATGGCAGCTTAAAGTACAGGGACAAACATAACCCAAGAATTAAAATGGTCAAAAAATAAACAAGAGAAAAGGAAGAACAGGGATGTACGCTTAAATGAAAGACAAAAGGCAAAGACGAGGCCCTAAAATTACAACAGGAACATACTGTAACCCAAATGTAAGCTGAAATCCCATTCAGAAAACTCTAATAATTAATCGATCTACAAAATTCATCCAATAACGAAATCCCTCTTTGTGCATAGTTCTATGTATAAAAATTAGATTACTAAAATTTCAAAAACTGAGATTAAAGCAAAATCTTCGAACCTCAAATCCCTGGCCTTCCGTCACTTGAGATCAGCAACTTTCAGCAACGATCTTGATTGCTCCCCCTCAAATATTCCTATTTATAGTTGCGAATGATCTTTCAGTTGTAAAAAGGAGAGGGAAGCTTTTAGAGGGAAATTTTACAGGGAAAGGAATAGAGGGAAACAATTTGGGGGGAATTTTATCTGAATTCACCTGCCAAAATTTTCTGTATCTTTCCCTCCAGATTCCGTTGCCTAATTCCCCTAACTCCCCTGCCGAACTCTGCTGCCAAATTTATTCCTAAATTCCGCCGCTACCCTCGTGTGAGAAGGCGGAACAAGCGTTGTTCCGCCTTCTTACGAAGAATAGTTAACCCGTATATTGACGGGATAAATAGGCTGGTTTGCTCACGTGCGGGTTTGTTAACCTTTGTTATTTTTTTTCTGTTTGGCAGGCTAATAGAGGATTAAACCCCCTTAACCCTTCATTTATCCCCTTGCCAAACACAGCCTAAGGGTTTCAAGCTTTTGGGGAGTTAATTGCCAAAGACCCAAACTTATTGGGGGTTTGGTGAATTTCCCCTTATTAAAAAAAGTGGCATCAATTGCTTCCAACTACGTATAAGACTAATAATCATTGGAAACTTGGAATTATTTTATCCCAGGAATATGTCTGCAAGTTTAATCTAACAGTTGCGAATTAGTTCATCTCATTTTCTCCTTGTTAATGTAACAGGAACAATGACTAGATTGCTGCCACTTTAATTTTTCAAAAAATTAATGTGTCTATGAAATTTTAAAGAGCTATAAATAAAAAAGAAATTTCTGAATTTGGAGAACTCGCACCTTTTATTAGCTGGTTATGAAGATCCAGGGGAACCCTCCACTTTTCCCCTTATGAATTCTTCTCTCCTAATGCCAATAATCAGCAAATGCCAATAATCAGCAAAACTGCAAACCCTGTGATCACCAAATGCCAATAATCAGCAAAACTGCAATATTGACAGTATACACGGGCTTGTACAAAAAAGGGCATATTCAAATTCCAGCAGTCAAGTAAATAAAATTGCACCAGAGATATCACAGTCCAGTTCTAAAGAATCCTTTTCAAAATGAACGTTTAGCTATGTAACTTTCACAGAGACAATTAACACAATTGGAAAATACATCATTTCAAGAGACCAAATTCTTGTTATGAGGCATCCCATAGCTCTCTTTTCATCACAATTTTCTCATGCAAGAATTAAGATTACAAGCTTTCCTTCAGAAAAGAGCAAAGGCTCACATCAAGTAAATGTAGAAAATTAAACAAAACAACCTTCAACAGGGTACCTCTACATGCCACAAATCTACAATCTCTTTTTTTCCTAACTCTTATCTCATTAACTTAAATCTCAACACAGCCCACAAACTTTTTTACTACCAGTTGCACTGAAGGAGGATCGAAGTGAAAATTAGGTCCATATCAAAAGTCAGCACAAGGCCTCCAACTATTATTGATTATCAACAAGTCCTCTCCTTTAGCTTTCATAAATAAGCAAAAGTGACTGCCTTTTCTCAGATATTTGAACCCCGTTCCTCGCCCTTTCCCATCCCCCCTCTATTCTCTCCAGAAATCAGCCGAGTCTATCATCATTTTAGGGGTAATTGATGATATACCCCACGTACTATTGCCCAATTGCTAATATACCGCCTGCAGTTGAAGTATACATTTTTTTGACTCTTTTACCCTCAGGGGTCTATTTGTCAAAAAAAATCTCTTCCTCAAGAAGTTTCACTCGGGGGGTCTATCTGCAACTGTACAACCACAAGGGGTCCATCTACAATAGTACAGGGGGCCATCATCAGTTAACCCTTCTTTTTACCACCCACGCTAGCCAAAAGGCATAAGCCACCTCTCTCAATCTGCAGACTGCCCATCAACCAGCGACTTGCTATCTGTCGATATACTGTTCCTTGTACCAGAGTCCTTAGCTTCATCTTCAGACACCGGTTTAACTGTTACCGATTGTTTATCACTCACACTTTGGCTCCCAGCACAGTCACCTTCTCCACTTTTACTCTCTTTCAAGTCCTTAACTTGAATCTGAGTTCCGCTGCTATCACTTATCGAAGCCTGTTCAACAGCTAATTCCTTCTGCAAGTGATCTCCTTTCTCAGCCACAGTTTGGCTCTTACTCAGAGGTGAAGTTGATCGATGCATTTGTACAACTTTGGTCTTTGCA